CCCCAAAACCCCAAAACCCCAAAACCCCAAAACCCCAAAACCCCAAAACCCCTTAGTGAAGACACCTTGTTGGTATGGTAAAAATTAAATTATTCTTGGTCTTGCTCTCCAAGCTCTTCAAAAACATGGATTTGGTTATCATCTTTACTCATCTTATCAGCCTTACTAAGTCTCTCCTTCGAGTCAGTAAAACTCCCCATGAGATAATCTGCATCATTTTCGATGCTATTATTTTTGTCCATTAAGGGTGGAGTCTCCTCTCGAAGTGACTCAGAATTAGCTAAGTCAATTATCTTTTTAGCTGGCCCTTTAATATCCTTAGACGATCGTAACATCAAGCTAAAAATGAGATTACTCTCTTACTCAGGACTAGGGATTTTCTTCCTTTTCTTGACATTCTTTTTCCTCTTCTTCTTCACCACAACTTTGAGTTTCTTTTTCTTAATATTTTCCTTGCTCTTATGTAGCAAGGACCGGTTATCCTCACTCATATCGTCATTAATAGAACTAAAGGGATCAAACTAGTTTCTTACTTTGAGTCACAGCTGTTAATGCCAATCTCTCCCAGAAGGATCTTCCTAAACATTTTAGGAATCTTATTATCAGTAAAGTCATGTACGTAGATTAACTGTTCTGGAGCCTTACTCGGGTAATTAAGGTATGCACTATCATCTATCACATTCTTACTCAAGTTAGGAAATAATGAGTGGTTTTTGTTAGGGATTTCAAACCCATGTCACTCTTCTTGGTTTAGCAACTTTGACTCATCATTATGCTTGGCTCGATAAACTTTATTTAATATGGTGTTCAGGTAAGATATCACTTTTAAACTGCTCTAGCTCTTCAGGGGTGAAATCTTGAACGTATTCTTTCCGAATTGCTGCTGTTTTACATGGGATATATTTCGGCACTTCGATGCCTATGGTAATTCCGCTTTTCAATTTTTTCTCGAGGCGTCTTTTGTCTATCTACATGAGGAATTTTAAAACGGAAACTAATATTACAGTATATTACTTACTTCCATAATTCTATTTAAAATTTCGTTCTTTTTGACTCGGTTTTGGCCTTTAATATACCTAATGGTACAGATGACTATATTTAAGTTGATTAGAATAATTGACATCTTAAAACAGACTAGAAATTTAAATTTAACTATGATTTACCAACAAAACTTCCAATAGAGCCGATCATAAATAGTGCCATTAGGACCACAAAAGCTATATTCGAGCTGCGTTATTCGGCTCCAAATTCCGGTGAGGTGAATCGATAAAGAGGCTATTTTGGCACTCCTGCTCTGTTCCTCAATATTCTTGCCCTATTCATCAGATCTGGCACTGATTGCAAGCAAATTCCATAATGGATTATTATATTGATTTAATTTGAAATTAATAAAGAATAATGGGGTTTTGGGGTTTTGGGGTTTTGGGGTTTTGGGG